TAACCCATTTCTATATTTCATATGTTTCATGATTGATGTTAAGCTCTTCCTCATTATTAAGCAGCACAGAATGAGCTTTCAACTGAAACATTTTTAACTAATGGAAATATATAATCTATTTCTAGCGGCAGCTGGTCATTAGATCAGTGGGAAACCCAAGTTCATTGCATGAACATCTGAGTTGCAAAACAAGATTGGGAACAGTAAGAATACAGGTAGTCCTTGATTTACGACCATAATGAAGTCTGTCCATTATGGTTATTATTTGTGATGGTTGTAAAGAAGGCCACCCACGTGACCAATCCAATGTAATGATCTTTTTGTGGTGTTGTTAAACAAACAATACAGTCATTAAGTACACCAATTGTTCACTATGAGCTGGTTTTGTTGAAAACCAGAAGTAAATGCCATTTTAAGCAAAAATGTCATAAAACGTGGTCATGTGACCGTGGGACACTGCAAATAGCCATAAATGCAGCCATCAGAACTTCAGAACCAGGTCACAAGTGCTGCTGTGGAGGTCCATAATTTTGAACGTTTGCTAAGCGACTGGTTGCAGGTCAAGGATTATGGTATACAAAATGGAGCTTTCTGTTTCTTCAGAACGGACCAAAATTGGTCTAAAATATGCCCTAAAATATGAAAAGCTTTGAACATTGAGAGCTAATCCCAAATCATCTGAAATGCCAAGATAGATCAAAATACCATGTTTCCCCAAAAATAAGACCCTGTCTTATATTTTTTCCACCAAAAAGGTCTTATTTTCGGGGGGGATGTCATCCACTGACTCACCTCACTTGTGCTTGTCAGCCCCAGCCTCTTTTTCGCTATCAGAGGCCTTCAGGAACTTCTTCATCTGGCAAGGCCAGCAAGGTTTTCCTGAAGGCCTCTGTAGCCGGTAACAGAGCTCCAGATCGATCCAGAGTTCTTTAGAAAAGCCAGCTTGCCAGCTGCAGAAGAAATGGGCTGAGGTGTGTTTGGCCTGGCTGCACTGTCGGAAGTTAAGTAGTAGGGCAGCTCCATCCCCACCCTAGCTTAATTTTTACCTGTGCACCCTGGAGTGGGCAGGGTCTTAATTAGGGCTTATTTGGGAGGTAGGGTTTATATTGGGCGCACTGTTAAAAAATCAAGCTAGGACTTACTTTCTGAGTAGGTCATATTTTCGGGAAAACACAGGAACTACTGGTAACATAAAATTAAGCTTTCCCTTATAAAAATCTTACAGGATATATTATTTAACCAGAAAGACCATAAGTCCACATGTTGCCTCTTTCCGGCAAAGCACTCCAGAGATTTAACTTTCCACAATTTTGACATCCACCAGAAATGTTTGGTTTACAGAACCCTCCAAATTCCCGAAGGCTTATAATATGGAAATTCATCCTCATTTTAAAAAAATACAAAACAACCTTTCTAGTGTCACTGCTAAGGGACTGGTCATAAGTCAAGTACTACCTGTAACTGAATTTATCCCAGAGATATACTTGAAGCAGAAATCAGGAGATTTACTAGGATAAGAAAAGAAATGCAAACACCACGTTCTGCTACAGCAGAAAATACTCTTCACTCTTAGCTGATGCCTGGAAGAGGCCTCTTTGGTGGGTCTCTTTCAATCAAAGCACATCTGTAACGGCATGCCTTTGGCCACCTTGTCTCCTTCTGCTACTTTCCAGGAAACACAAGGTGGCCTGTCTCTCAAAACTGCCGCACCCGAATCACCCAAACCAGTCTTTTTGTCAAGAGATCTTGGGATTGAAGTTTCCGCAGCCCTGGCATACATCAAGGGAGGATTTATTTCAATATGTTGTTGCAACTACTTTTGTCAGGTTATCCGTCTCGGGAGAGATGTTCATTTCTTACAGCTCATTGTGCCATCTGTTTAAAAAACCAACCACTCGACTCTGTGCTAGGAGACCACAGATGGAGATTTTTCCCCCTTGTGTGCACAACTGTCAATGGATGACAAAGCCTTGCTGTTTCCAGCCAGGTGGAATTGCTGGGGAGGAGGAGGAGAGCAAAGTGGGTGCTCCTGTATGGGTTGAATCTTTGCCTCTGGGTACTGAGCGATGCACAGCGAACAATGCCAGTCAGTTCCCTTTCTAAGGCAATTTTAACATATCAAGTGAGCATCAAACTACCTGTAGATAAAGCAAAAGTTTATTTTTTCTCCTAGGCATGTCTCCTCAAGGGGCGATCCTACCGTACTTGAGTTGAAAATAGTTCTTAGGTCAATAGAGGGATTACAGCTTTTAATGAAATACACTTTCTTTCTTTCTTTCTTTCTTTCTTTCTTTCTTTCTTTCTTTCTTCCTTCCTGTTCTTTCTTCCTTCCTGTTCTTTCTTTCTTGATTCGATTTATATGCCACCCTTCTCCAGAGACTCAGGACAGCTTACAATGCATTAAGCAATAGCCTTCATACTTTTGTATATACCTGCTTAGTAGGGCTTTCGGGCCCCCCTAAGCAGTGGTTCTTTTTTATACAAAGTCAGCTTATTGCCCCCACAAACCAAGTCCTCATTTTACCTACCTGGAAAGGATGGAAGGCTGAGTCAACCTTGAGCCTGGTGAGATTTGAACTTGCAGTAATTGCAGGCAGCTGGTGCTACTTAACAGCACTTTAGTCTGCTGCGCCACCAAGGCTCTTGAATAAAAGGAGAGATACAGGTAAGTCTTTGACTCAAGACTGTAACAGAGCTTGCCCATTAGTCATATCATGAGGGTCGTAAAGCAAGTCACCCAGGTAGTTGACGCAATTTTCTGACCTTTTTGCGGAAATTGTTAAGCCACCCTGTGGTTGTTAAGTAAACCAATGGTTTACTATAGGCCGTTTTTGCCAAAAACTGAATGTGCTGGTTTCCAGCAAAAAATGTTGTAAAATGGACACTCAGCAATGGATCCTGCAAATGTTCCTAAATGTGAATCCATTGCCAAGCATCTGAAATGCGGACATGTGGCTACAGGGGGGGGAGAGGCCATCATAATGTAAGCACCCCTGTGGACGTCTGTCATAACTTTGAATAGTTGCTAAATGACTGATCATAAATTGAGGACTACCTGTATGCTTACTTATTGAGTAAGTTTGTTCTGTTATGTGGCGAAAGTGACTACCTGCGAAGGCTCCTGGATTGGGGCTGAAAGGCGAAAATGGAAGCAGTATGCTCTGTCCTATAACTGGGTAGACCAGGTTGCCCTGATAAACTGGTCCCACCAGAGAAAAAACGATCAGATAGATACATCCTTTGCACTCAAGGCAGCAAAAAAATCTATGGAGATTCTCAGTCGTCCAGGTCATGGTTGTCCCAAAGGTGATTTTTTTCCTCAAGCAGCCACTAGACTTTCTTGTTTTTTCTTTGAAGACATTTCGCTTCTCATCTAAGAAGCTTCTTCAGCTTTGACCTAATGGTAAGGAATGGTTCCAAGAAGACTCCAAACCCATTTACACCACTCAGGTGATCCTGAACACCAGGGGTGAAATGCTACTGGTTCGGACCGGTTTGCCCAAACCAGTAGTAAAAAATGCTACCAGTTCAGGCGAACCGGTATTTCTGATAATCAGCTGTGCCGCGCAATTTATATTCGCTAGAAAGCAGGAAATCCTGCTTTCTAGTGAATGTAAATCGCGCGGCACAGCTGTTCTCCCCTCTCACTGTTCTACTTACCTTTGCAGACTCAGAAAAGGCTTCTTAATCCTCCTTTTTCAGTGCTGCGAGGTAGCACCTGCAGTGCGCATGTGTGCAAAGCATGCATTTGGCATGGACCGTGCATGCACAAACGAAGCGAACCAGTAGCAAAGTGAACCGGTAGCAAAGCGAACCAGTAGCAGATTTCAGAGCATTTCACCCCTGCTGAAGTCACAGATAAACCTCCAAGTAGCCTCAACAGCTCTCTAAAAAATTCAAATGACCAGCTGCCTGCCAGGAATATAAATCCTTCCATTCCCTACCTTCTTGCTGGAGCTGAAGAAGCTTCCTGGATGAGAAGCAAAACCTCTTCAAAGAAAAATCAGACAGTCCAGTTGCCTCTTGGGAAAAAAAAGCACCTTTGGGACAAGGCAGTGGAAGCCATGGATTAGTTGCAGTCCTGAGTTGTTTTTCTACTTTGGATTTGCGTGCACACACTAATCACTTAAATGAAGGCAAACAATGGAGGGAAAGAATGCAGGTTGTCCTTGACTTACAACCGTTTGTTTAGCAACCATTCAAAATTACAGTGGTATGGGAAAAAAGTGCTCACACTTACGACTGTTGCAGCATTCCCACAGTCTCATGATCAAAATTTGGGCACTTGGCAAGCGGCATAATTTACAACTGCTGCAGCATCCCGATGTCGTGTGAACACCATTTGCAACCTTCTCAGCTGGCAAAGTCAATGGGGAAAGCTGGACTCATTTAACAACTGCATAATTCACTTAACAACCTCAATGACTCATTTAATAACCATGGCAAAAAAAGGTTGTAAAATTGGATATGGTTCACTTAAGAGCTGCGGAGGCATTCCTTCCTTCCTTCCTTCCTTCCTTCCTTCCTTCCTTCCTTCCTTCCTTTCCAGTGGTTAGAATGCAGTATTGAAGGCTAACTCTGCCGATTGCCAGCAGTTCGATCCTGACCGGCTCAAGGTTGTCTCAGCCTTCCAACCTTCCAAAGTGGGTAAAATGAGGAACCAGATTGTTGGGAGCAATATGCTGGCTCTATAAACTGCTTAGAGAGGGCTGTAAAGCACTGTGAAGCAGTATATAAGTCTAAGTGCTATTGCTATTAACAACCGCCTTGCTTACCAATGGCAATTCTGGTTCCATTTGTGGTCATCATCAATTGAAGACTACCTGTAAGGAAAGGATGGTGGGGATCCATTGATACATCTCTGACTTCCATAAAAAAAAGCTCTGATATTAAGGGAACAGACACAGTGAGAAGTTACTGGCTTATTTGTGCAGAATTATCAAACCTGTGAACCACAAGCCCTTTGGGTGGATAGGGAAATACTCAGCTGAGACACTAACCTCCACAGAATACCTCGGGGTTTCGCTGTGCTCTCCCAGTATTGCTGAACAGGCCCAGAAGCAGCAAGGAAAACAAGGCCTGAAGGAATGAGGCCATGCCTTAAACCTTAATCTGGAAAAACAGACAAGACAAAGGTAAACAAAGGTGCTTTCATGGCTAGTCCATCTCTTCTTAACCTGCTGCTCTTTAGTGATGCTACGACTGCAGCTTCTAAAATCTTTATCCAATTCACCAGACCACCCAACACATCAGAAGGGCTGAAGGTCAAGGAAGCATAGCCTAGATTTTATAGGTTCAATCCTGAGACACCCACCAGTTTTATAACCATCCGGTACACACCATGTGGCCAAATATCTTCACCAACTATGCAAAACATTTAATTTGACATGTTGTTTTATTGTCCTATTGTTTTTCTCTGATAATAAATGATTCTCATTTATTTCTCATGTACTATTGCAAAAGCTGTTCAAAGACTGCAATGAAGATATTTGATTTTATAACCATTCCCAAATTTTATAAATGTTATAAGAACATTATAAAACTGTTCTTTAAACAGTTTTTTGTCTCTTTTTGAGACTTTGTGGCTTTCCCCTTCAAACAGAAGTATACTATTTTTAAAAAAATCTTTAACCTCTATAGATAATGCTAAATGATTAATGATGGGCAAAACTTAAACCAGGGTGATTTCCTCCTACAAAGGGTATTTTGAAGCATGAACTTTATGTGCTTTAATTATATTGCAAAAACCTCTGCTCTTTAGGCATGGTTCTGTATCACTGTAAAATTGTTTTTCAAGGTACATTTGAGAAGTTTCAACACATGTTTCAGATGCTTGATTTGCCTGTGGGTTATTTCTCTGTACTGAATCTGGCCCGCATTTCTGCAAAACACACCAACAAACAAACCCTTATTTGCTATTTAAATTCCCCTTAACGCACCTGTGACTGAAGAAAGCAAATGAGAATTTCCCCAAGGACACAGCTGACTATATCACAGCTGTTTGAACCTGTGGACTTGTCCATCAGTTCAAAATTCTCAAACATTCTGTTGTTTTCAAAGGATGACAGATGGTTGAATTGTACCTAATGTACTCAGCATCTTGACACACATCTCCAATCATATTGGTTTCATTCCCAGAATTTACATATATACCAATAGCAAACTCATGCTGTATTGTTTTATAAATTCTTTTCCTTGTTTTGGCAACAGTATCAGACTTGTAGTGCTAAGGTATATTATTTTCTTCCTTTCGTCTCCATTCATAAGTCCAAAGAGTAGCTATCAAAGATGGGACCACATCAGTGGGATTCACATAATTTAACAACTGGTTCTCTGCCCTAATGATTTCTTTCAACAACCAGTTTGCCAAACTGCTCAGAAAGTTAACAACCAGTTCTCCCGAAGTGGTGTGAATTAGCTGAATCCCACCAATGGACTACATCCATCTAAGAATCCCACCCCTCCATATATTCTTCCATCCTGTTAAGTGTCTAAATCATGATTCCTAAATCACGAACCACAAAGTTTTTGCACTGTTGTGCCACAAAGTGCCATCCTGGTGTTAGATCAAAGGGAATTTTATCACTGATTGAACAATACAAAAAACTTGCAAGTATTTTGCATACTGCTAAAAGGCAAGTTAAACTTTTGAGATATATAAATAATATAGCCCTGGGGTATTTTTTTGCCTCCGTCTTATTCAAATTTAAGTGCTAAAGTACCCAGGCAACAGCTTTCTCTTCTAATCATCATGCTTTATCCAGTTCCTCTGCTTCACTGAAATCAAGGTATAGCTCAGGTCTACAAAATTAATGAGGCATGAACCCTCTTATGGAAAAAAGTAAGTATTTTACATGCTGGTCACAGCCAGGTTTCAAAACAACCAGATTGCTTTCACGTCCACAGCAACCAATAAGCATTTTCTTTTCTAAACTATCCTTCAATAATATGGGCTTTTTTTCAGGCAATATAAACCTGGAGGAAGGATATTGCAAAATCTCCATTCCCACCCTACTCTGGGGCCAGCCAGAGGTGGTATTTGCTGATTCTCTGAACTACTCAAAATTTCCGCTACTGGTTCTCCAGAACCTGTCAGAACCTGCTGGATTTCATCCCTGGTTTGTAGTGATAAAAGGGAGGAATTCATTATTATGGCAGATTCCCTGCCTAGTGTTCTCCAACTATATTGGAGCAGTCTCTCAAACCTGCAGCAAGCTTAACCAACAGTAGATACGTCTGGAATGTGTTCAGGTAGGAAAGACTGATTTAGCATGTCATATAGTGAATATCCTTCGTTGTCCCACTGTATTAGCTGCAGTGCCTGGAATAGGAAACCTGTGCCAACTATGGATGTTGGTGAACTACAATTACCAGTATTATTCTCCATAGACCATGCAGGTTGAAGTTGTTGAGAATTGTAGTTCAATATCCAGAAGGCTGCAAGTTGCTTGCCTCTATGTAAGGCAATATCAATTGCATTTTATATTGATAGAATTTGTTGAATGCAGGTGCAGTCATGGACTGCTGGTTTTGCTGGCTATACCACGTATCATGATGTATCATGATGGAATATTTTATGATTTTGTTTCTTTACATGGGGAGTCAAACTCAAGGCCTACAGGGTGCTTAGATGTGGTCTGCTCTGGAAACAATGAAGCCTCTGGCCTGCGGTGCCTCTGCCAGAGAAAATGGAGTTGAGTTTTCAGCTGCAACGGCCTCCTGCAACCTTCTGCCAGCGAAAACGGAGCTCGGGAGGGCTGCGCGTAGTCCTGAGTGCCATTTTTGCTGGTAGTGTGCTTGGGCCACCACAGGTGCTGACATGAATGACATTGAGCTGGCCACACTCACCCTGGCCATGCTCACTCCCCTCCCCCCAAGTTCAAACACAACCCTGATGTGGCCCTCAAAGATATCAAGTTTGACACTCCTATTTTACACTAAACCTATCTATTCAATATGATCATGTGGGATGAACTAATACAAGTAGATCAACTGCATAAGAGAGCTCAACTTTTGCTAAAGTTCTCATCAAGACCATCACTAGAAAGCATAGTGCTTTCTATATGTGCTTAATCCATATGTGGATGCCACAGATTACTCTGTGTGCAGAAGCCATACAAGTATTGAATAAAACAATAAACGATAAGAATTGCATTGATGTGGAAATCTGGGAGAAGGCATGAGCTAAGGCCATGTTTCCAACACTGGAAATATATAAAATCAGAAGGTGCTCCAGATGAAGACGACTGAATATCTGTCTTCCCAAGTTGAAGTTTTAAGCCAATAAGGCCCAGTAGTGAAATTACCAAACATCTGTATTCCAGTTATTACAAACAAGGTAATCAAGAACTACTATGAACACTCCCACCAATATTGATAGGGCAAGCCACCTCTATATAAACAGAGAGAAAACCCCACTCCTTTTTAGATTTGAAGTTTTAAGTCAATAAGGCCCAGTAGTGAAATTCCCAAACATCTGCATTCCGGTTATTGCAAATCAAGGTAATCAAAGAACTACTATGAACATTGATGATGTTACCTAGTTGGGTAATGAAACGTCTCCAAGAAAGCAACCAAGCTCAAAGAGCACCAAGAACCCTCACTTACTACAAACATCTCCATTATGTAGCCTTGTTATAGCTCACGACTTCAAAGCCTACTTTAGCACTATTGTTTGCAAGTCCCAATGGGTTTCTCCTACTTTTTCCTGATAAGATTCTAAAAATTTTCCTACTCTTACAAGCAGATATCTTGCAATTTTCTTGCAGCTTTGCCCAGCATAAAACTCGGTCTTGCCAAGTAGAAAATTGTTAAGTGTCACACTCCTTGTTGTCTTTGTTGCCACTCCCAAGTACTCTTTCCGACAACTATTTTCTCTTAGAGAAATTCCTTGTACCTGAGATGGAGTTAATGTAGCCTTTTCATTTCAGCTTCTCTGATGCAATTACCCATTTAGACCCCTTGGCATATAAGCATCAATTGTTCCTAGCAGGTGATGATCTGAATAGGTAAGGTGACTGCTCAGCTGTTGTAAAATGTTGATCCTATTGTGCTTTCCTAGCATTGGGCCTGTAGTCTTTTTCAGCCTCCCCACAAAAACCTTCAGTTCTATGCGATTTTTACAAAGTTTGGTGAATTTATGGTGGTGTTTGGAAGTATAAAAACAAAGTTGTAAACGATCCAGAACTGGTGGGGAAAAAACTCTGCAATTTCATATACAATACTTCAGCTCAGGGGCTGATGGAAAAATCTGATAGGCTTTCTATCTAAACTACAGTTCTTGTCATTTTCAGAAATTCTGTTACCAGATATAAAACTTTAATTCATTACAAAGCGCAGTTTATAGCTTGTCAAAGAATTGGAAAACCACAATACCCCTAAACGGGGGGGGAACGGACTTTTTCACTTCAGCTTGTTATCTAATTTTTTCAATAGAACTATTAGTAGTTTTATTAGTAAATTTCATGTCCATTTACTGATGTTTGAATAATTCTTTGCTCTGAAAACAAGATCAAACAATTCTACCACTCTTATTGTATTTTATTTTTTGTGCAGTTAGGGCTCTAGGGAATAAAGTTATTAAAAATTAGCAGATCCAGCTGCACTCAGTACAGGTTGATACAGCATTAGAAAGAAAGAAAAATAAACTATAAATAGGTGGAGGTATAGATTTATTTATTTTTTATTTGTAAGTTAGCAAATTTACACAGGCAAAATATCTAAAGAAAAAATTCAGCCTATACTTTCAGTCTAAAGAATATTAGATCTAAGTTTTCTCCTTAAGTATATGAAAATGATCTCAAATTTTCTACTTTTACCTTTAAAACTTAATTTCATCCATTTCACTTTCAAAGTGTACTTACTTGGCAAAGATTTCAGCTTCTGCTTAAGCAAGCTCACGGCTCTAAGTTTCAGCCGGGACAATGTTTTAAAACCTGATCTTCCTCCAGAGTAGGTAATTTTATCTCCCTCCTTCTTCAGCATCAGGATCTTCTCAGGTCTATTTCTCAGTGCGAAATCCTATTGCTGTCATGAACTAATGAAATAATCCATGGACGAGCCAGCCAATGAAAAAGCAACATGTGGGAAAAACAGAGTCCAGGAGCCAACTGGATATTGCATAAGGCTCAGGTGCCTGGAGCAAGCAGTAGAAAGGAAGAAGGGGAAGGAATGCTGGTTGCTATGGAGAATAAAATCACCTGTGTGACATGTGCTCTTATTTACTAGATGTTCATTAGAGCTGCATTTTCTGAACTTTACTTCCCAAATCCATAGAAGAGTGTTTCCCCTATCTCAGCCACTTTAGGATACTTGGACTTCAACTCCCAGAATCCCCCAGCCAGCATCTGTGAACTTCAACCCCCAGAATTCCCTAGCCAGCCAGCCAGCATCTCTATGGACTTCAACTCAGAATGCTAGCTGGAGAATTCTGGGAGTTGAAGTCCACACATTTTACAAGACCTGAGAAGGAGAAACACAGAATGGACTTAAAAGTCTGCTGAAAAGTTTTTCCTCTAAGCATAGGGGCATCTGCAGGATGGGTTGAAAATAAATAAATAGAAAATCAAGATGGTACTGTCAACTTTTTTAAACCTGCCCTATTTTATAGGCATCCAGTCTGATCTGCTACAAATGTTTTCACCTTTCAAACATTACAACTTTACTTACAACCATTTGTTTAGTGACTGAAGTTACAATGGCCCTGAAAAAAAAAGCAACTTATGATTGTTTTTTATCAATTTATGATTGATCCTTATAGTCATATTATCAAAATTTGAACACTTGGCACCTGTCTCGTATTTATGACGGTTGCAGTGTCTTGGGATCCTGTGATCGCCTTTTGTGACCTTCTGACGAGCAAAGTCAATAGGGAAGCCATATTCGCTTAGCAACTGTGCTACTAACTTAGCAAATGCTGCGATTCCCTTAACATCTGTGGCCAGAACGGTCATAAAAATTCATTTAACAACTGCCTTGCTTAGCAAAGGAAATTTTGGGCTCAGTTGTGGTCGTAAGTCGAGGACTACCTGTACTCAACTTACAACCCTAATTGAGCCTGGAATTACCGTTGCAAGTTGTGAAGGATGTTAAGTGGTCATCATGTGACTGTGCCTGATTTTACAATATTTTTTGCAGCAGTCATTTAGCAAACCCAGCAGTTATTAAACACGTCCCTTATAACCAACAGGTGGTTTTTTTTTTTTGCTGGAAACTGAAAGTATATGTCAGTTTCCAGCAAAAAAAATGACAAAAATAGCAGTCATGTGATTACACAATGTTGCAAATGGCTGTAAAAAAGGCCTAGTTGCCAAGTGCTCAAAATGTGATTGTGTGACTGTGGGATGTGTGTCAGTGGTGGGTTTCAAATTTTTTTACTACCAGTTCTGTGGATGTGGCTTGGTTGGTGTGGTATGTCTTGGTGGGCGTGGGAGGGGAAGGATACTGTAAAATCTTCATTCCCACCCCACTCTAGGGGAAGGATACTGCAAAATCCCCATTTCCTCCCGATCAGCTGGGGCTAAGGAGGCAGAGAATAGATGGGGGCGGGGCCAGTCAGAATTTTTACTACCAGTTCTCCAAACTACTCAAAATTTCCGCTACTGGTTTTCCAGAACTGGTCAGAATCTGCTGAAACCCACCTCTGGTGTGTGTGTGTAACTTCAAAACCGGGTTCATAAGTAGCTCTGGGGTCGTTTGTCATAACTTGAAATGGTCACTAACCAACTAATCATAAATAGAGGATAACTGTAGTTGTTTTCTGAGATATTTAACTATCCTTCATGCTGCTGTAGGAAGTTAAAACCCACCCCTCTCCTAGGAAAATGAGATATTTTAGGAAATATTAAAAGGGAGGCAGAAACTCAGCCACCCATACCTTTGTCAATGGGCCATTAAGGCCTGGGCAAAGATCTACCTCCTTCAGGCAGAGCCATCGTAGGAATTGCCCAGTAGTGGGTTCCTCTTACCTTCGCTATCGGTTTGGAACTGGGAGTGTGCTCACGCATGGCACTTCTGAGCACGTGCAGAACCATCTGCACATATGCAGAGCATCCGTGATGGTGTCTGGGTAGATGAGCGGAGCCTCCTACCGCCGCCACTACTGGTTTGCCCGAACCAGGGGAACCGGTAGAAACCCGCCACGGGAATTTGTTTGTTTGTTTGTTTGTTTGTTTGTTTATTTATTTATTTATTTATTTATTTATTTATTTATTTATGAGATTTATATGCCGCCCTATCTCCAGCCAGCTCACAACAGTAAAAAACATCTAATGAAAAAGTTAAAAAGAAATTAAATCCAAACCTCATAATTTAACAGTTAAAAGTGCAATTAAGACTAACAAGTTAAAAATTAAAACCCCATCAGTCCAGGCCAGCCAAACGAAACAGCCACATTTTCAGGTCGCGGCGGAAAGAGCGGAGGTCGGGGGCCACCCGGAGCTCCAGGGGCAGTTGATTCCAAAGGGTAGGTGTGCCCACAGAGAAAGCCCTCCCCCTGGGAGTCGCCAGCCGACACTGTCTGGCCGACGGCACCAGTGGTGGGTTCCTCCCGGTTCGGTCCGGTTCGGCCGAGCCGGTAGTGGTGATGATATGATGTCACCAAACCGGTTCTCCCCCCCGCCCCCTCACCCCCCCCACTTTATTCTTACCTTTTATTTGGTCCCACCCCCAATCTATTGCTGCCTCCTGAGTCCCAGCTGATGACTAGAGGGGAAAAAACTGTTTAAACTCTTGCCGCGGGGCTTCAAAGGGCCGTGCTACAGCTGATCAGTGTTAAAAGCAAACAAATTAGTCGGGTCATAAGTGCGAGGACTGGTCATAAGTGCGAGGACCTTCCAGAAATGACTCTGACCAGCTAGCCACACCCACCTAATCACATGACCCCCCCAAGCCACACCCACAAAATAAGCCACGCCCACAGAACCGGTAGTAAAAAAATTTAGAACCCACCCCTGGACGGCACCCTGAGGAGGCCCTCTCTGTGGGAACGCACTGGGCGATGGGCAGCTGTTGCTGGCTGCAGATGGCCCCCCCAAATATCCCGGGCCTAAGCCATATAGGGCCTTATAGGTAATCACCAGCACCTTGAATCTCATTTGGAGGGCAACTGGCAACCAATGCAAGTCGCGTAGGAGAGGTGTAACATGGGAGTGTCGAGATACTCCCATCATAACCCACGTGGCTGCATTCTGTACCAGCTGAAGCCTCCGAGTGGTCTTCAGGGGCAGCCCCATGTAGAGGGCATTGCAGTAGTCAATACGGGAGGTGACAAGCACATGAGTAACCGTGCGTAGGGCATATTGCCCAAAGCCCTTTCATTACATCATCATCCAGCAAGAGTCAACCAAGCCTGGGACTCAAAAGACAACCTACAAAATTACCCCTGCGTGACCCCATGGGAGTCTGACAACCAATCAGAATACAAGCTCAAATTCAAAGCCCAACAGAGGGCATAAAACCCAGGCACTCTCAGCATCTCTGCCTTTTTTGCCCAGGATCTCAAACCGTGTGATCCTGTCCATCAATAAACCTTCTTTCCAAGCAACTTCCATGAATCCAGTGTCTTTTCCCCCAGTTGGAACTGAACCCAGATGGACATTTCTTCCAATACTGCTTTCATTCCAGTTTTCAGACCCTCATGCCTTTTCCCACCCATCTGGCAAAACCAGTTGTACAATTAATTGTGGGCTCAGGGTCATCTGTGAATGTGCCTCTTTTGTTGCACAAATCATATCCAGCATATTGTACATTGCATGTGAATCTACTTGAGTGTGATTTGTTAATTTTGCTAATGAAATAGAAGTCAGATACCGAGATGCTGACACATGTTCCAGCTTGGTATATTCCAAAACAGAGTCAATATATTAGTAATATATAGCATATATTATATTAGCACTTAGCTTTTTCATGTTAAAAGTTTGAGAGTTTTAGTCAGTGAATTTACTTAGGGCACCTATAAAGAGGCAAGGAAATTCATTTACACAACATGGAATCCGTCTTTATTTATTTATCTACGTTTTGGCAGCCTTCCTGCTCTCCCACACTCAGAATGTCCTTGCAAACAGCCTGAGTTTACTAATCTAAGAAATTCTTTGTCATATACTCCTCTTGTTTATAACCAATCCCACCCACAGACACGATCAAGGCAAATCCCTTGCTGGGACACAGATGTACAAAGTTTGTTGTTATGCCATTATCAGTATTGCTAGGAGAGAGATGACAATTATCACATCAGCTGCATATGAACGGTCCGTGAACTGCTTTCCTTTACAGCGTTTGAATTAATCTGTATTTTTATAGCTATTATTTCAATAGCTAGATAGAGCTTGCTGTTGATCGCTTGCTTCAGGAGAGTAGCAAACTTTTTTTTTAATATAAAATTCCCAAAAGGTTTGGGGAAGGGATGAAATCCAGCAGGTTCTAACAGATTCTGGAGAACCGGTAGTGGAAATTTTGAGTAGTTCGGAGAACCAGCAAATACCACCTCTGTCTGGCCCCAGAGTGAGGTGGGAATGAAGGTTTTGCAATATCCTTCCCCTGGAGTGGAGTGGGAATGGAGATTTTGCAATATCCTTCCCCTGGCACGCCCACCAAGCCACACCCATAGAACCTGTACTAAAAAGTTTGGATTTCACCACTGGTATGGGGGTAAACCATGCACAACTTCTACCCATCAAGGAAACTCTTTATAATACTAGTTCCTGGAAAGTTAGAAAGCTGCCACACTCTTTATGAACTAATACCATTTTATTATCTTATTTTGAGTGAATTTGTTTTATTGTTAATTTGTTTTATTTATTTGCATTTATTCCACCATTATTATTTTTACAAATAGCTCAAGGTGGCAAACATATCCAATATACCTTCCTCCTCCTATTGTCCCCACAACAACAACCCTGTGAGGTGAATTTGGGTGATAGATAGTGAGTGTCCAGTGGTGGGTTGCTCCCGGTTCTGTCTGGTTCTATAGAACTGGTAGTAAAACCAGCAGGAGGCTCCGCCCACTGACCCCAATGTCAT